AAAGTAATTGGCAAAAAATGAAATGAAAAGATACACATACTAGTCTGTGTCAAATTTTCTCTTCTGACCTTTTTGTTTTGATGTCGAAGGTTGCAGTGGACCCTGACCTCTTTTCCTTTGGCACTTTGAAGAAGCCTGATGCCGCTTCAAGTTAAAGTCTGACTTCCCATTCTGTGCCACTCGTTCATGACACAATTCACAAACTAAATAGTTCCCTTCTCTTAATGTTTTGTCGTATTTCTTAATCACCTCTTGAAGTATGGTATGATACTGGGGGTGTTGTTTATGATTAACATGAATATGTGATGTGAGTGCTGTCAAGCCAGGTTGTCCCTGGGTTTTTGCAGCATACCCACACTCACAAGTGCATTCACAGAGGCATTTGCAGGGGAATGGGCATTTGTAGTCCAGCCTGCTACTAAGCTGGTCAGTCTCATGTCTCATGTCCTGTTCCTCATCTTCATTACAAATCTTCAACAAAAGAAGAGTATTAGATAAACACTAACTCGTAAATAAAACTATATTGATTTACCTTGCTTTCCCTCATGAAACCTTCGACTTACATCATTTTCCTTCAATTCATCATCATCATCATCCAAGCACACTAAGCCACCTATATATTCACCCCTCTGGTGCCCTGCAAATGGGGCCATAATAGATGTCAACTCCTTACAATCCTACGAGAAAAATATAGTGTAGAGGGATTAAAAATATGCCTTGTATCAACAATTTCTTTATAAAGTAATTAGCCATAAATGAGCATTACCAGATCGTAGTCTTTTTGATCCTTCCCAAGTAAAAGAGTAATATCAACTGGGCATGCTCCTTGTTTGCCACTGTAGGGATTTCTTACATCAAGCGTTGCCATGACTTCCAAGTGCTGGCCATACATCCATCTTTCAATCATTTGTGGTGTTGCTCCAGCTGCGACCAACACGCCATCAAGTTTCACTGTTTGCATGCTCTGTGGCACTCTGCAATACAAAGTGAACGAATATGACAATGTGACATAAGTATTTGATACACTTACAGTTATGTGCATGTAAGGGCAGGCGAACTTACGTAGGGCATCGACACATTGGCCTAGAAATTAATCCTGAACGGAGCCATGACTTAGAACTACAATTGACTGCTTCATTCACTGTGAAACCTGAAAGACAGATAGTTCTAAATGGAGTAGGAATACTATTATACTGAATTGAAAACAGGAAATGGTGCAGTTTCGCACTTACCTAGATTGACTCCCCAATGAATGGCAAATGGCAACACATAGAGAACATCACCAACCCGCTGTCTTACCTGCAAAAATTGGAAC